AAGGACAGAAAAAAACAACCCATCCCCCATAAAACAGCACCTGTTACAAGTAGAAACCCTTGTAGAAACCAAAGCGATACAGTTTTCGAGGCCTCATGGGGGCGTTAGAAGGACAGAAAAAAAACACACATCCCCCATAAAACAGCGCCTTTTAGAAGTAGAAACCCTAGTAGAACCCAAAGCGATACAGTTTTCGTGGCCTCATGGGGGGGGAGGTAGAAAGACAGAAAAAAGGCAGCACAAGCGCGTTTAAAGCCACGGCGTGATCCCACACCGCACTAAGCTTGTCCCTTGGTGTTGCAGGATTCTCTGCTCGCGCGGACACACATGCACGACCATCCGCAGGCGACCTACGGCACAGAGATCCAGGGCGACCTCTGAACCCTGTCCGGAAATGCGGCCGCGCGCACACCCGACGACGCACCACCCCCTCCCCCAGAGAAATGTTGTGGCGATTTTAAAATGTTTTTATTAAGAACGCTTATAGCTAATATATGTAGCTGATAATCATGCTTGAGCATGATGTACTGATTTTTGTATCGCGACAAAACGAGTTGAAAATAATATAAATTCAAATATAATAAAGTCAAATATAATTGAAAGCGATGGGATCGGCTCGTTTTTTTAACAATCGAATCGCGGTTTTTGTTGTCGTGATTTCTTTCGTCCGATCGCACACTAGCTGGTCATTATCTGTAGTTATGATGTTACGCGACGTCTTTGCAGATAGGTCGTTATAGACATTTGGTAGTTTTTTGTGATTGTTTGTATATGACATATTACAGCAGTTTGTTGCATTCTAAAACAGTAGACTGCACCACAGACTGCATCATAGACCAATAGACTGCGTGACAGAACAGTATACTACATCACAGAACAATAGACTGCGACATAGAACAATAGAATGCTTGATAAAACAATAGACTGCGACACAGAACAACAGACTCTGACACAGAACAATAGAATGCATGATAAAACAATAGACTGCAACACAGAACAATAGACTGTTGTGACACAGAACACAGAACATGTGACACAGAATATGGATATGTGTCACACACGGGATATGTGACACAGAACAATAGAATGCATCACAGAACAATAGACTTGATGCTATGATGGTAATGCACGACCAGTAAATGAAAATCACTGAGGAGAAATGGAAATCACTGAACTGCATGTAGTATGAGACTGTAAGTGTAAGCGACTCGGGGAGGCCATACAAC